ACTGTCTAATGGAACACAGTTTGCCTTGACGTTGACATCTGAGCTTACATTCTAATAACCATTGCAGTGATACCAAAAGTCTCTGTCACTCAAGTGAATCCAGGGATTCGGCATAAAGTGCCAGTAACTTTTTTGGGATTTTGTTTAATTCACACATTTTTCATCCAAGTTACAAATCCTCTTTTCTTTTTCAGATCCGGCTAGCGAGTGGTCTTATCACTCACCTTTCAGTAACACTGCTCGGAGAGAGGATAAGGCCAGAGTTTACTGAAACTTTTGACCCTATTCCCCAGCAATTAGACATCACATCAATCTTTTTGTGGATAGGTTGCCACGGCAATCATTAACAATATAATTATTTGATTTGGGAAAGGAATAACGTTAAGGTTAACATTAAAAAGAAAAGGCGTAGAAAGGTCTGTGTCACACATGAGGAAAACACTTTTGGTGGAAATCTGCTCACATGATAATAATTATTAATGTAAGCAGTAAAGGAAATAAACACATGCCATTGTACCATTTCCTGCTGTAGTATGACTGACCAATCACAGCCCTTTATGAGAGATTCATAGATGGCGCATGGTTCAATGAATGTTTGAACTTTGAGGTTTTTGCACTCTTTAAGATTCACATCTTTAAAATGAATTATTAATACATTAAACAGCAATTATTTTAATCATCTCGGCACTAATCATGCGTTAGGGAATATTCAATTTGAATTCTCACCCTGCTGAAGAGCTCTCACATAGGAAAAAGACATAAGATGCATTGTAGCTATTGATACAGAGTGGGTGTTTTTGGATGTAATAATAACACAATTAAAATAAATATTCTCTACAAACAAAATGACAATAAGCAATTTTTGCACATTAAACACAGTCCTAATTTGCATCGGATATCAAAGTGTCTCTCAACATTGGAAGGTATAAAAACTGGATGGGAAGCAGTGGAGTAACTACCATGGTCGCAGGAGTCACCGCTGCGACTGGACCCATCACTCCAGGGAGCACTGCCGCAGCCGCGACCCCTGCGACCGTGGACCGCCTGCATACCTTTTGGGCTGGTGCACAGCCGCACTGGTTGAGGGCCCACGGTTGTCGGCAGGAGGGGAGAGCTGTGCTGTTCCCCTCCGGCCCTGTGTGTAGCGTGACCGAGCAATTGGACAAGAAGTGCTCAATGAGAGGCGGGCGGTGAGCAGGTACAAGAAAGGGGTTGGAAATTACACACAAAGGGGTGCTAGGAGGAATGAGGCACATGGAGGGGCTATGGGGGAGGGAATGAGTCGCATGAAGGGGCTGGAGGGGAAATAAAACTCATGGAGGGGCTGGAGGGGAAATTAAACGCATGACAGGGCTGGAGGGAAAATAAAACTTATGGAGGGGCTTGAGGGGAAATGAGAGGCATGGAGGGGTTGGGGGGGAAATGAGACACATGGAGGGGCTATGGGGGAGGGAATGAGTCACATGAAGGAACTGGAGGGGAAATAAGACTCATGGAGGGGCTGGAGGGGAAATGAGATGCATGGAGGGTTTGGGGGAGAAATGAGATGCATGGAGGGGCGGGGGAAAATTAAAAGCATGGAGGGGTTGGGGGGAAAATGAGACGCATGGAGGGGCTGAGGGGGAAATGAGACCCATGGAAGGGCTAGGGAGGAATGAGACCCATGGAAGGGCTAGGGAGAAATGAAATGCGTAGAGGGGCTTTGGGGGGAGGGAATGAGTTGGGGGGGCAGGGTAATTTTTGCACTGGGCCCAGTGATTTCTAGTTACACCTCTGATGGGAGGAGGTGTTGCAACTAAAGCTAGAGTGTGCCAGTGCTTGCCATTGCATCACTGGTTATGTACAGTTTACATGAAGACCTCACACATACCTGCTGGTTGGCACCGAGCCTTTAGAGCTATCCTAACAGTTTGCCTGCTGGCAGAGAACTGTGTTAGTGATTTCACATGCAGACATTTATCCTAAATCAGCTACAAACACGTTTATTGGCGCACCGACAATGCATACGATTTGAGGACTACTGCGTATCCATAAACAGAGTACCAATTAAAAAAATACAATGTCAAGGCAGGGGTCTTCATTTGGTCTGTTCCTGTTGGGTCAGGTCTGTTGCAGGATTAGGTATCAGTACTGACAATCCTTAGGCTGCTTATATTAATTTGTCTGTTTATCTGTTCCCGGGCAAACAAATGGAGCTGGACTTTACACCAGCAGCAATATCAAATATCTAAATATGAGCAGTATTTCATAATGAAATGTAGCACACACAGGGTCTCCATACACCATGACCACTTTAAAACAGTGACATGCTCTTGTGGCTAGTAGTAATCCTTTAACCGTTTCTAGCAGAGGGGCTTGTGTGAATTATTTAGTTTGTTTTCTTCATATTAAATAATTATGGGGAAATAGGGCTGTAATGGGGTGTATGATGGGGCTGTAGTGGGAAAACAGAAGCTGTAGTTGGGAGTTATGGGCTGTACTGGAGGATAAGGGCTTTGATCGGGGTTTGGGGCTGTAGTAGGTGGACAAGGGCTGAAGTGGGGAGAGAGGAGCTAAGGGGAAAGTATTTTTATTTTATTTTTTTTAAAGTTATGCCCACCGAATGCAGTGATAGCTGCTAGTGATCATAGTTAAAGGGACACTATAGTCACCTGAACAACTTTAGCTTAATGAAGCAGTTTTGGTGTATAGAACATGCCCCTGCAGCCTCACTGCTCAATCCTCTGCCATTTCGGAGTTAAATCCCTTTGTTTATGAACCCTAGTCACACCTCCCTGCATGTGACTTGCACAGCCTTCCATAAACACTTCCTGTAAAGAGAGCCCTATTCAGGCTTTCTCTATTGCAAGTTCTGTTTAATTAAGATTTTCTTATCCCCTGCTATGTTAATAGCTTGCTAGACCCTGCAAGAGCCTGCTGTATGTGATTAAAGTTCAATTTAGAGATTGAGATACAATTATTTAAGGTAAATTACATCTGTTTGAAAGTGAAACCAGTTTTTTTTTTTCATGCAGGCTCTGTCAATCATAGCCAGGGGAGGTGTGGCTAGGGCTGCATAAACAGAAACAAAGTGATTTAACTCCTAAATGACAGTGAAATTGAGCAGTGAAATTGCACAGGAATGATCTATACACTAAAACTGCTTTATTTAGCTAAAGTAATTTAGGTGACTATAGTGTTCCTTTAAAAACCCTCTGTAATTTACCTTGGGACAGGGAGTAATCCTTATGCCTAGTGGGAGATACATTCACATAAAGACTTCCCTAGGGCTCCAGTGTATATGCTGTTGCAAATGCAGGTGTTTGGAACTTTGCCATGGTAAACCACAGCAATGCTCTAAACATTGGAGCACAAAGGAGCACTTTCCAGGCTAAAAGATGGCTGTCACAATGAGCCCGAACCACACAGAGGGGCCCGAACCCAGTGGCGGATCCGGGGGGGGCAATGGGGCAATTGCCCCCTCTTCCCCCGAGAAAATAGTGCTGCCCGAGGCTCTACCCTGCCGGCCCATGCAGGGCTGGTGCTATCCAAGCACCAGCCCTGCTGTTTGCCTTCACGGACTGGAGGGGAGATCAGTGATCTCTGCTGGCAGCCGGCAGGAGAGAGAGAGAAACCAGGGGCGCTCTTACCTGCAGCTCCGCCGGGTTCTCCTCTCACGAACACGGAGCATTGCCACGGTTACCATGGCAATGATTTGTTCTCGCGAGAGTGAACTCTAGTCTGAGCTGCAGGTTAGAGTTCCCTCCCCCACTAGAACCGCCAGGGATTGAAAGAAAGCAATGTCTCCCCCTATAGCCTTCACCCATTGGCAGCAGGTGAGGGCCCAAATTAAACAACACGGGGTGTGGATATGCCATTGTCCACCACTTCAAATAGTGTTATGCCCCAATCCCCTTGCTACCCCTATTAAAAATAAATATCCCTATCTACCCCTCTCACCCTAATAATAATGAGGGGGCAATTAAACTAATAACCATAAAGTAAAAATTATACTTACCATCAACATTCTTCTTTCTTCTAATTCTTATGTTCAGTCACCAAAAAAGCCCCAAAAAAGTCATTATCTTGCAATGCAACTCGTTAAAATAAAACCCCCCAGACTCCAGCCCAGATTTCAAGCATTCGGTCTGGATTTCAGCCTTTCAGTGACATTTAATCCAGTTTAAATCCAGACCAAATAATGTACTGGTCAGGACCTGAATGGCAAAATCCAGCCATCGTTATACAGTTATACAGTCTGTGCACAACCAGATGCTTTTTCTGCATTCGGTACGACCGTACGGGGATATTCGGGCTTTAGTAAATAACCCTGTTATTGTATTCTGGAGAAACTGACCGTCAAATTGCAAATTATGAATCAAAAATCTGCAACATTTTTCCACCTTGTCTATTTTGTTCTAAATTAACTGTGCTTTGTCCTACATTGACACTGATAAAAATAGCTTAGGTGAAAAGGCTCCTTTATGTATAAAAAGAAATATATGTGTAAAGGATCACCTGGCACCCCGACTGGGTACCTCCGTTGATGGATGCTCCTAGCGCTTCCTGAGGACTCCAAGCACTGCAGCCGACACCATAACCACCGTGGACTCCTTCAGAGAGCAGGACAGGAACAAGCTCTTACAAGAGCTTAGTAGTG